GTCCCTAAAGCTGCGGGACGCAAACACACTGTACACCGCGGCGGCACGCCGCGCATGCGCTGGTGTGTCATCGAAGTCGCGTCTCTGCTTTGGCGACCCTAAAACTAATATACATTAAAAAAATGAGATCGAGTCGCGCCCAATGATCTACCCTAAGCTGGACGCGCACCCGTCTTACATGCGGGGCGAGGCAAAGCATGCATGGCGAGGCGTCGTTTACTAAAAAAAAAAAAAAAAAAAAAAAAAAAAAAAAAAAAAAAAAACCGCCGAACTCGACTAAAAAAGGGTGGTTTCAGCGAGATGGCGGGTTAAAGGGAGACGCCATGGCGGGCAACTAATGCCTGCTCTACGAGAATAACAAGCACTTCGAGTGAGGGGGGAAATGGAGGGGTTGGAGGGGAACGGCTACATGATGCGGGCACCGCTTACAACTGCGCAAAAACATTCTGAACCGCGTCAAACACCCTTCGCCCCTAACTTCCACGGCGACAATGCCAAAAGTTACGTGCGGTATTCGCATGATCGCAGGGTGTGCGACTCCGTCAACATTTTGGTCCAGCTGGAACTTTCGCGCGCCGAAAATCAGCCGTCCGAACGGCTTCGCGACATGGTTACCGTTATTGTCAGTCGCCAACGGTAAGCGTTCTGGTAACCAGTGGCGTCCGCGTCTACATATTTTCATGGTACGGTAATGAGGCAAACATAGAACTGCAGCAATAAGATTCCCTAAACCTATTTAAAAAATGCTTACAATGACGTGCTCATTTGCAGACTTCACAAAAAAAAACAAAAAAAAAACATTTAACAGGTATAAACCGTGACCTTCATTCGAATGCATTTAAAACACATTCCCCTTGTACGTGGGGAAAACAAAGTTGGCGACGTACAGTAATGCTGCAGTAATGTAAACCCTAGAACAAACATTATACTGTAAATGAACGAAATAATAGTTATGCGCGCAGTTTTATACACCACCGCACCGAATTTCATCGAGCGGTGTCCATCGACCCAGCGGGTTGAGTTTTGCACAGATTGCCCACTAACTGCTCCGTGACTGCACGAACCGAAATTAGGGTAACTGCGGGAGATCATTGGCACTTCGGAAACAGAGGGCAATTTGAAAAAAACACCTCATGCAAACTGCAGGGACACGATATCGCCGAGCTAACCGCCGGCTGTTTCCCAGCGCACACCTGCAGAGTTGCGATGGTGATGGTGTGCCGTGCTCTGTCCCGGGTGATATGCAAGCCAAGATAGCTACGCAGCTCACCCAGGTCAGTGCAAGTGTGTCTCTTCTGCAGTTCCGCCTTCACAAGGGTCAGCGCCTCAGTGTCGGCAGTAGCAAAGACCAAGTCGTCGACGTACACGAGGATGTAGAACGGCGGCAGAGTTGGGTCGGTGCGGAGAAACAGCGACGGGTCAGCAGTGGAAGGAGTGTACTTTTTATGAAATTCCCGACCCCGGACAAGAAACGAACAGTGAGTCGGTTCAGGATGAAAACGTCCTGGATAGCTTGGGGGTTACGACTTCAGGTTCATGCTAGAAACGTGGGGCAGTTCACAACCTGTTCAGTAAAGGCTAGAGTAACAGACCACTTTCGCTTAACCAACTTCGCTGTTATCTTCGCTTTTTCCGCCCCCTCGCCATATCTTTGCCTCGCTGTTGCCAATGCAGTATGGGTGGCGCATGTGCTGTTCGCGCATTGATTCGCGAGAATGTGGTAACTGCTTTTCAGGTATGGGGTGGTTGTGTGCATGAACTGATCCGTGTCAGCACGCGCTTCCCGTCATGACTAGTTTGACTCGAACTGTACATAAAACACCTTTCGGTACAGTCAGATGAATTGAAACAAAACGCGTTATATTTACGAAAATGGCTAAAACGAACCTACCTGACCCGCCCTAAGTTGGACCCGCCCTCACACGTCAAAACCACGAGCAACTGCCACGGGAGCTTCTTCCTAGAAACTGTCAGCTTGCCCACTATTTTGGGCCCTGTTCGACTGGCGCATCAGGGTTTAGGCTCGGGTACCAGCACAGGTTCGTTTGTGGTGCTTGGGTACCAGGTTTGGTTCGGGTGTGGTGCTCGAACGAGAGGAAGTGGTTTGGGGTTTGTCAAATTGGTCCTATTGGTCTGTCAAGTTTGTCAAACAGGGTGGGTGTTCGACTTTTACAGAGCGGGCAATTGTGTGGGGAAAGTTTGTCAAACTCGGGGGGTGTTCAACTTGGCGGGCACCTTATGCTGCCCCACATCAGCTGGTGCTGCCCCGCATCAGCTGGTGCGCGCATGGTGCTAGCTCTCCACGGATGCACCATGCGCGCATCAGTGGTGCGTCGGTTTGCCAGGAGAGGATGGTTCCGGGAAAGCACAGTCGGTTCCCAAACCGGGGGCCAAAAAGGGTGTTCGGCTGGCATCCTGCACCAGTTCGCTTCGGTGCTCATGCGCCTATCCCAGACCCGAGTCAGCTGATCCCAGACCCAAGTCAGCAGTTGTCCCCTTATCTCAGAAGCTTCGAGGGAGCACGCTTTACTGTAGCCGGTACCCGAGCCTGTGCCTGATGCGCCAGTCGAACAGGGCCTTGGGTCAGCCTTCGCATGTAGCGACTGCAATGCGCTCTATTGCGCCGAACCTTAAGCGCTTATTTGATGGTGGTCAGCCGCATCCAACCCCATGCCATCCTTCCTCTTAGTAGCCAAATCTATCTTTCTTCAGCTCCGTACCCGCATTTGCAGCCGCACTGGAGAAAATAACTCTGTAATCGTTTCCACGTTTTCGCGAATTCGCAGCGTGCTCCGTGGTCAGCTCGATCTTCCTCGTCAGAATCCGTCAATGGGTTGTTAAAGCGACGTTAATAACTCTTAAACTGCGTTCAACCTCGTCCTTGCACTGAACGCCTAAGTTTCACGAAGAATAAAACGCTTAGTTTCTAGTGGATATCTGTTAGCTTGAGTTTCCTCTGTGTCGAAGAAAGTTATATTGTCAACAGTGCTAGTATCAGAGAAAGGAGGAGCCTGTTTGACTTCAGAATTTGTGTATTAGTAAAGCGGCTTGACAAGCATACTAAGCGCAGTATCATGGGTCAGAGTGGATCGAGAGAGGAGCACATACTTCACGCCGTGGTGCTCGGCAACACGTCAGCCATCCGAGAGCTGGTTTCACGTGGAACCAGCGTCAACTTGAGTCATTGTGGTCAACGTGAGTCTCATTGTGGTCAACGTGAGACTTTTAATCGCGTTCCGAGCATCAAGGGCTATTTACGGTACTACCCCTCCAGAGCATGACCCACTAATTTTGTACCTTACTGAATAGTAAACTATGCAGGCATTTTACACATCACTTTACCCTTTCTGGGAAGTTAGCGAGATTACAAAAGGTTGGAAAAACAACCGTCGATCTCAATAATGTTGGATGGCTACGATCTGACGAAGCTCCGTTTCTATTTGCCACGCTGGGCAACAAATGTTTCGTGATTAAATTTACTGCTTTGAGTGATTGGTTGACAATTAAAAGCCGTCGATCTTCATAGCAATCAAAGGCCACGATGGAGAGATGAAACGAGATAATGAACCCTAGTTTCCGATTGGTTCACAAACCATTTCAGGAGATTGGTGAGATTGCTCAATGGTTGGAATTCTAACCGTCGATTGTCATTTTTGGATGGCTACGATCAGACGTGGGCTGTGTTTTTCGTTGGAATGACAACCGTCGATTCACTTGGCAAGCTAGGCCACGATCGGGAGATGCAGAAGATATTGCTGTATGGCTTCCGATTGGTTGAAACCCAGATTTCGGCTGAGGCACACACACAGAACTGATAGTCAGCTGTACTTCAAACCCCACCTTCATTTCTTCATTTCTTAGCTTCCAGGCAGCTCTCATTTTAGTTCCCCGCTCTCCGATTTCACCTACCAGACCACGCTCCTGCTCTTTGTTCACCTTTGAAATCATGAGCGCTACTTTTTGATTTTCCGTCGTTTGCTTCTCCCTTTTGTCGTGGCAGAAGGCGATATGGGCGAGGCGATTTGCCCGTGGCGATATGGGCATGGCGATATAACGTGGCGATATGGGCGTGGTGATTTGGCGTGGCGATACGGGCGTGACGAATTGGGCGTGTCGATATAGGCGTGGCGATTTGGCGTCGCGATATGGGCGTGAAGATTCTGGCGTGGCGTGGCGTGTCGATTTGGCCGTGACAATAAAGGCGTGGCGATTTGGGCGTGGCAATATGGGCGATGGCGTGCGTTGGCTATCTGTGAGTTTCCAGCTGGGGTTGTGCTTATTCACTATTTAGTTTCTGTTTTTTGTTAAGCTAACCTAATCTTCTGGATGCCTGCTCTCCCAACACTAACGGTTTTTCTACTTGTCGCGATGTTGCAGGATTATAGTTCGACCGTGCGGAATGTGTTACTAAGGTTTTAAATCATTAGTTCTGTTCAGTATTGTCAGGGAAGTGCTAGCTGAACCCCGGTAAGTACTTGGCGCTGTGTAAATTGTTGATTTCTGACTCTTATTTTGTTTGTGTTTATCGCTTGTTGCTGTAAGGTTCGGTCACTTAGTAGGACCACTTTACGTGAAGACGATTCCTTCATAGGGTTTATGAAGTCTGTATTGGTATAATGTGTATTTGTAACGTTCTTTTACAAATATTGGATTTCAGTTCTTTTAAAACTACGGTCTCGCATCTAATACTTTTGTAATCCTCATAACAATGTAACCATGTCGTCAAATGGGCTACCAGGCAACTATGTAACAGCGTAATATTATGTGTTGTCAGTAACATTGTAACCGTGTGACTGCGTAACTGTTACGTGCTTGTTTTTATGTGTCCTCGTCCCTCTTCGCGGCCATCCCCCCTCATTTCCCCGTCATCCCCCCCCCGTCCCCCCCTCATCCTCCCACCAGTGTGTGGACGGTAAGGGTGGCACCCCTTTAATTCTCGCCAGCAGCCGGGCAGAGGGCTTTGAGGCGGCGAAGCTTCTGCTGCAGATGGGTTAAAGCAAATGCTTTGTGCTTTTTCCCCCCCTCGTCCCCGTCGTTCCCCCAACCAGTGCGTGGATTCCCAGGGTCGCACGCCGTTGATTCTCGCCAGCGGCCGGGTAGAGGGCTTTGAGGCTGCGAAAATTCTGTTACAGATGGGCGCTCTTGTTCGCGCCTACTCCAAAGGTGGGCTTGTTGTCTTTTGAGGAGCCCCAAAAGTCATTCTCGCCAGCAGCTGGTCGGAGGGCTTTGAGGCGGCGAAACTTCTGCTGCAGATGGGCTCCCTTGTTCGCGCCTACTCCAAAGGTGGGCATGCTGGCTTGCTTTTGCGAATCAATCCTCACGTTTGCATACATCCCATGCGCCTATTAGCAGAGTTTTTGGGGTTTCGGCCCCCAATCTTAAATCCTCCTTTCCGATTTCCACCTGAATTCCACCACCATGCTACCACTTTCTTCCATGCCACAGCACAATCATTCACCATGCCACAGCGCAGTCATTCACCATGCCACAGCACAGTCATTCACCATGCCACAGCACAGTCATTCACCATGCCACAACACAGTCATTCACCATGCCACAGCACAATCATTCACCATGCCACAGCACAGTAATTCACCATGCCACAGCACAGTCATTAACCATGCCACAGCACAGTCATTCACCATGCCACAGCACAGTCATTCACCATGCCACAGCACAATCTTTCACCGTGCCACAGCACAGTCATTCACCATGCCACAGCACAGTCATTCACCATGCCACATCACAGTCATTCACCATGCCACAACACAGTCATTCACCATGCCACAGCACAGTCATTCACCATGCCACAGCACAGTCATTCACCATGCCACAGCACAGCTATCCATCCATAGCTTACATCTCTCCTCCCCCTCCCCCTCTCTCGTCCCGACCATGCAAGTCCAGGAGGGGGCACGGCCATTCACTATGCCGCTCGTAAGAAGCTCGATGCCATGGTGAAGCTGCTGCTGGACCATGGAGGTGAGCTGGTAACCATGCGTGTGTAAACGCGATGCCTTATGATCGATGCCATGGTGAAGCTGCTGCTGGACCATGGAGGTGAGCTGGTAACCATGCGTGTGTAAACGCGATGCCTTATGACCGATGCCATGGTGAAGCTGCTGCTGGACCATGAAGCTGAGCTGGTAACCATGTGTTTGTAACCACGATGCATTATGTTCGATATCCCACAGCTAAGCTGCTGCCATGAAAAGTCTTCCCAACTCACTCTTGTTCTCAATGATTTTCTTTCCTTCCCCCCTGCCCTGCCTACCCCTATTGCAGCGGACCCCCTTTTCCCTAACGATGATGGAAAAACCGCTCTGGACCTGGCGAGATGGAGAAACTCCACTGCTATCGTCAGACTCATGGAGGTGAGGTGGGGTTCAGTGAGGAGGGGGGTGGTCGCATTGGTGTGCATGTGCGATTGGGTGTGCGAGCGGGGGAGAGAGAGTTTGAATGTGTGGAGTAAATCAGCCTGCGTTATAACGATAATGGAAGGAGCGATCTGGACCTGGCGAGAGAGAGAAACGCCACTGCTGTTGTCAAACTCATAGAGGTGAGGTGGGGGTAGGAGAGGAGGAGGAGGCGGGGAGGTCGCATGTGGGGGTAGGGGAGGAGGGCGGGGAGGTCGCATGTTGGGGTAGGGGAGGTCGCATGTGTCTGTGTGTGTTTGTGAGCTGGAGTCTTCCAGTATAGGGTAATTGTTATGAGTGGAGAGAGGAAAGACGTTCCGCTTGAAGCTGTGGTCCTAAGCAAGATGAAAAGGCTTAGGGGTATAGGGTATCGAATCCCCATACCTCTCGCACGCTAAGCTAGCGCTCTACCATCTGAGCTACATCCCCTTGGTGGAAATGGCTACTAAAACATTAACAGATTAAACATGGTATACATGTGTCAATTATTAAGCTTGCTTACCAAATCTCAGCACCGATGACACTCTGTTCCTCGCTGTCTCCCTCTTTCCCTCTATTCGGGATTTTACTGATGAAGGTTTGCAAGAACCGTTACTGACACGTGCTATCTCCCTCTTACCACGCAACCCCACACCACTGCCATGCCCCTTCCCTGTTGCCCCATCAGAGCCGGGTGGCCTTGTTCGAGGGCCATGTGCGCCAGCAGACCCTCTCAGCACTTTTGCAACTCTCCTGTCCCCCTTTTTCCCCCACCCTGTTCTCCTCTGTCTGGCTGGTTGCCCCATCAGAGCCGGGTGGCATTGTTCGAAGGCTATGTGCGCCACACCCTGTCAGCACTTTTTCAACTCTCCTATCCCCCTTTTTCCCCCACCCTGTTCTCCTCTGTCTGGCGGGTTGCCCCATCAGAGCCGGGTGGCATTGTTTGAAGGCTATGTGCGCCAGCAGACCCTCTCGGCGCCGTCGCTAGTGAAAGCCTTTAGAATGTGAGTGCTTTTGCCTTTTCAGTGGCCATGAGTGTACAGGCGATTGTGTGAGTCTGATTTTCGTCGGTGCTGTTTTCCCAGTGTCGTTTGTCTTTGTCTGTATCATTTCTGCCATCCCCTGTCCCTGTTGTCACCTCTCACCACCCCTCTCCACCCCTCTCCTATCCTTCCCATCCCTCTCCACCCCGCTCCACTGCTCTCCGCCCATGCCTGTGCAGTTGGGTGGCAGTGCTTCCAGGGCCCACCATGAGTGACGGACGCCAGACATTCCGCCTCGCTCTCTACCCATCCATGGCTGTGAGTGTCCGCATGCATGCATGCATATGTTTCAGTGCTTGCTTGCATGGCAGTGAGTGCATGGCAGTGGGTGCATGGCAGTGAGTGCAAGGCAGTGAGTGCATGCACGACCTGCTGCAGTTTCGCGCGCCGTATTTTGAGGTAGTTCTGCACGTGCTTTTGTGGCCCCTCCTCTTTGGCGCGCCTTTTTTTTACATAGCTGTACACATGTCTTTGCGCCATTTCAACATGTGTCCCTCCTCTCCCCCTCTCCCTCGCCCCTCTCCCTCTCCCTCTCTCCCTCGCCCCCCAACTCACTGCAGTTTGGAGCGCCCTAATCCAACATAGCACTGCCTGTGCCTTTGAGGCGCCTCCTGAGAGTTCCCCAACCCCGCCTTCCCCCCTCCAAACCCGCCCACAACCCCTTGCATTTAAGAGCACTCTATTTCGACATAGCACTGCACGTGTGCCGCATTCACATGACCAAGCTGGACTGCACGCACGTTGGAGGCGCCTCTCCAAGAGCCCACCCCCCGCCCACAGTAAGTCGATTTTTCAGTCGACTAAAAAATCGAATTACTACACCCCCCGCCCCCTCCCTCCCTCCCTCCCTCCCTGTTGCAGTTTGGCGCTCCCTACTTCGACATAGCACTGCACGTGTGCCGCATTCACATGACCAAGCTGAACTCCGCCAACCCTGTACTCGTTATAGAGGGCCCCGTTCATGGTATAACACCTCCTCTTTCAATTCTACTCTTTCCTTTCATTCTACTCTTTCCTTTCATTCTACTCTTTCCAACACTCTGTGCAATTCTTTGTTCTCTCTGTGAATATTTCTTCTCTGATTCATTTCTCCTGGGGGAACCGGCAGCTGAGCTCTCATCTTTCCGTGCTGTGTTGCTAATGGGATATCTTTGTTCTGTGTGTCTGATTTTTTAGATGTCTCATAATTCGGCATGTCTCTGCTCTCTCTGTGTGGTTTGTGCTGTGTTTATTGCACTTTATGCCTGTGTGTGGCCATCCATATGTGTTAATGGTTATCTCACATGCCCACCTGTGTGCATGTTCACACACGTGTGCATGCATGTTCACACACGTGTGCATGCATGTTCACACACGTGTGCGTGCATGTTCACACACGTGTGCATGCATGTTCACACACGTGTGCGTGCATGTTCACACACGTGTGCGTGCATGTTCACACACGTGTGCCTGCATGTTCACACACGTGTGCGTGCATGTTCACACACGTGTGCCTGCATGTTCACACACGTGTGCGTGCATGTTCACACACGTGTGCGTGCATGTTCACACACGTGTGCCTGCATGTTCACACACGTGTGCGTGCATGTTCACACACGTGTGCCTGCATGTTCACACACGTGTGCGTGCATGTTCACACACGTGTGCCTGCATGTTCACACACGTGTGCATGCATGTTCACACACGTGTGCCTGCATGTTCACACGCGTGTGCGTGCATGTTCTCACACGTGTGCCTGCATGTTCACACACGTGTGCGTGCATGTTCACACACGTGTGCCTGCATGCATCCCTCTATGGCAGAGGATAATGGCAAGTTGAAGTTCGTGAGCGACACGGACTCACCCGACCCCTCGCAGATATTCCGCCTGCACGACGCCTGTCGCGGAACACCACGGGTGACTCCTCCCTCCCTCCACCCTCTCTTTTTTCTCCACTCACTCTCTATGTGATTTTGAGTCGACTCAAAAGCTCACCCGACCCCTCCCAGACTACGCCTGCCGAGGAACGCCACGGGTGATTCCTCTCTTCCCTTTCCCCCTTCTATCCCCTCATTCTTCCCTCCTAACAATCCTTCCTCCTCTCACTCTTCCTTTTTTCTCACTCGTCCCTCATCTCTCATGCTACCCTCCCTCTCACTCTTTCCACCCTTTCACTCTTTCCACCCTCTCACTCTTTCCACCCTCTCACTCTTCCACCCTCTCACTCTTTCCTCCCTCTCACTCTTTCCTCCCTGTCACTCTTTCCACCCTCTCACTCTTCCCTCCCTCTCACTCCTTTCCCCTTCTCACTCTTTCCTCCCTCTCACTCTTACCACCCTCTCACTCTTCCCTCCCTCTCACTCTTCCCTCCCTCTTACTCTTCCCTCCCTCTCACTCCTTTCCCCTTCTCACACTCACTCCTCCCTCCCTCTCACTCTTCCCTCCCTCTCACTCTTCCCTCCCTCTCACTCTTCCCTCTCTCTCACTCCTCCCTCCCTCTCACTCCTCCCTCCCTCTCACTCTTCCCTCCCTCTCACTCTTCCCTCCCTCTCAAACTTACCTCCCTCTCACTCTTTCCTCCCTCTCTCTCTTTCCTCCCTCCCACTCTTTCCTCCCGTCTCTCCTCACTCTTCTTCTGCATGCTCCGTAGAGGGGGGATGTGTTCTCTCAGCAGTACGCACATGCACTCATGCCGATCCATGCAGTGAAATGTACAACATGCACTTGCACTTGCACTTGCACTTGCACATGAACATCCCCTGAACATGCCCCTTCACAAGTACCACACACTCACAATTCTGAACCACACTCTCGTTTGTTTTCACAATCTCCTATTCTCACAATATCTCATTCTCGCACTCTCCTATTCTCACAGTCTCTCGTTCTCGCACTCTCCTATTCTCACAGTCTCTCATTCTCGCACTCTCCCATTCTCACTCTCTCCCTCTCTACCATCTGTAGGCTCGCACCCAGTCGGCCAATCAGCATCAGACACCTCAGAATGTGACATCCTTTCCCCGAACCCCACAATCACATGCACCACCACCGGCAACCCAGCTCCCAGCGTCTCGCTCTCACACTGCCCCCTCCTCCATTCACCATCCCCCACCACCACAGACGCATCCCACCATGTACCCCCACCCTCCTGCCGCTCCTGCTGCTTCCCCTTTTGCTGCTCCTACTGCTGCTGCTGCTGCTGCTGCTGCTGCGGCTTATTACACACAGCTGCAGGCACAGCAGCAGCTGGGGGGGTTAGGAGCAGCAGGAGCAGGACCAGTGGCAGCAGCAGGAGCAGGAGGGGGGGCGTCAGGATCAGGGAGAGGGGGTCAGCAGAGCGGAGGGGAATCCAGGGGCGTGGTGAACGTGCACGCGTGGCAGGATGACGTGGACGAGGACACGGCGTTCCAACTGGCACTCTCTGAGTCGATGCGCACCGCCAGCATTGCCAGCTCTGCCTGAGCCGATGCCCCTGGTGCTTCTGGTTCCACTGCCACTGCTGCCCAGGGCATGAGCAGAGGGGAGGAAGGAGCAGACGGCTTTATTCTCACCCGTTCCTCCTCCGAGCCCCAGTCCAGATCTGGCCGCTCCCTCTCCTCCTCCTCTTCTTCTGCTGCGGCTGCGGCCACCGACTCATTCACTGCATCGCATCGTTCTTCTAGGTCCATTTCAGCCTCTGCTGACCGCCACCCGTTTGTCCCACCTGCTGCCCCCATCCCCTCTTCCTCCGCTGCTGCTGGCACTTCTTCTGGCATTGCCGCTAGTCCTGCTACTGGCGCTGCAGCTGGTTCAGCCAGTACAGCCGGAACAGCTGGCACTGCTGCAGCAGGGGCGGAAGGGGGTCGAATGCGCGACGAGATTGCGAATCAGTTCTCCTCTGTGGCACCGGCGCTCAACCGAGCAGCAGCAGCCGTGTCGTCGCTCTTTGCCTCCGGCCCACCGTCAGCACCCCCAGTGGACGCTCCTGCTTCCGCAGCAGCAGGGCCACATTCGTCAACGGCAGCAGCCCCGGCGGCAGCACCAGCAGGAGCAGGAGCAGGAGCAGGAGCAGGAGCAGGAGCAGGAGCAGGAGCAGGAGCAGGAGTAGGAGCAAGAGCAGGAGAAGAAGCAGGAGCAGCAGCAACAGGAGGAGAAGCAGGGGCAGAGGCAGAGGCAGGAATAGCAACAACAGGAGGGGCACCATCATCATCATCATCATCATCATCATCAGCAGCAGCAGCAGCAGCAGCAGGGGGGTTTAAAGAGGGTCAGTGTGTGATTTGTTGGGACTCAGCAACGCAGGCGGCATGTGTGCCTTGCGGGCATGTGGTGGGGTGTGTGGAGTGTCTCACTGAGGTTAGATCCAAGGGCTGGGAACCGGATCATCCGGGTCATCCAGGTGGGGAAACGATCAACCGGGCTGGGAATCGAATGGACCGGATCGGTCGGATCAAGCGGGTCGGAACCCGGATTCGGAACCGAATGGGGAACCGGATCAACCGGATGGGGGCCGGATGAGCCTAATTGGACGGACCAACCGGGCCGAAAACGGGTGGGGAACCGGATCGGAACCGGATGGAAAGCCGAATGGACCGGGTCGGTCGGATCAACCGGGCCGGAAACGGGCGGGGGGCAACCGGATCAACCGCCCCAACCGGGTGAGGGACCGGATCAACCCGGTAGGGAGCCGGATCAACCGGATCGGAACCGGGTAGGGAACCGGACGAGGAACCGGATCTACCGGACCGACCGGATCGACCGGATCAACCGGGTGGGGGACCGGGTCAACCGGATGGGGAACCGGATGGACCGGACCGGTCGGATCATCCGGGTTGGAACCGGGCGATTAATCGGATCGACCGGATGAACCGGGCCGATGGATCCGGATCCCACCACCCTAGGCGGGATGGGTCCGGGCCACACCACCCCGGTTGGGATGGATCCGGATCACCCCACCCGGGATGGGATGGATCCGGATCACCCCACCCGAGATGGGATGGATCCGGATCTCACCATCCTGGACGGGATGGATCCGGATCACCCCACCCGGGATGGGATGGATCCGGATCACACCACCCCGGATGGGATGGATCTGGATCGCACCTCCCCGGTGGGGATTGATCCGGTTCGAACCACCCCGGGCGGGATGGGTCCGGTCCAAACCACCCTGGATGGGACGGATCCGGACCAGGCCACCATGGATGAGATGGGTCCGGAACTTTGTGGGCTCTAGGGTGGGTGTGGGTCCTTGGACGGGCCCACACCCTCCCTAGAGCACTTTATTCCTTGAGTCACACCTTCGTTCTCGGTCGGGGGTTCTTCGTGGGCTCTAGGGTGGGTGTGGGTCCTTGCACGGACCCCTACCTTCCCTAGAGCCCTTTTCCCTTTGGGTCACACCTCCGGCTTCGACCGGGCTTCTTTGCGGGCTCTAGGGTGGGTGTGGGTCCTTGCACGGGCCCACACCCTCCCTAGAGCCCTTTATTCTTTGGGTGACACCTTCAATCTCGGACGGGGGTTCTTCGTGGGCTCTAGGGTGGGTGTGGGTTCTTGCACGGATCCCTACCTTCCCTAGAACCCCTAGGGTTGATATCCACCCTCGCACGGGCTCGGATGGGCTCATGGGCTTGCCTTTGCCGGTTGAAAGCTCAAAGTGACCGGGGGGAAATGTAGACCAGGGATGGGGCAAGCTCTCTACAAGTTCCTATCCACCCCAAGGGTCCTTTTGACCGGCTGGAATGAGACACACGCTCCAACCAACCGGGGGGATTCGGGCCCAAGGTTCAGCTCCACCCTTGCACGGGCTCGGATGGTCTCATGAGCTTGTTTTTCCTGGTTGAAAGCTCAAAGTGACCGGGGGAAAATGTAGACCAGGGCTGGGGCAAGCTTTCTACGGGTTCCTATCCACCCCAAGGGTCCATTTGAGACACACGCTCCAACCAACCGGGGGGATTCGGGCCCAAGGTTCAGATCCACCCTTGCACGGGCTCGGATGGGCTCATGAGCTTGTTTTTCCCGGTTGAAAGCTCAAAGTGACCGGGGGAAAATGTAGACCAGGGCTGGGGCAAGCTTTCTACGGGTTCCTATCCACCCCAAGGGTCCATTTGAGACACACGCTCCAATCAACCGGGGGGATTCGGGCCCAAGGTTCAGATCCACCCTTGCACGGGCTCGGATGGGCTCGTGGGCATGTTTTTCCCGGTTGAAAGCTCAAAGTGACCGGGGGAAAATGTAGACCAGGGCTGGGGCAAGCTTTCTACGGGTTCCTATCCACCCCAAGGGTCCTTTTGAGACACACGCTCCAATCAACCGGGGGGATTCAGGCCCAAGGTTCAGATCCACCCTTGCACGGGCTCGGATGGGCTCATGAGCTTGTTTTTCCCGGTTGAAAGCTCAAAGTGACCGGAGGAAAATGTAGACCAGGGCTGGGGCAAGCTTTCTACGGGTTCCTATCCACCCCAAGGGTCCTTTTGAGACACACGCTCCAATCAACCGGGGGGATTCGGGCCCAAGGTTCAGATCCACCCTTGCACGGGCTCGGATGGGCTCGTGGGCTTGTTTTTCCTGGTTGAAAGCTCAAAGTGACCGGGGGAAATTGTAGACCAGGGATGGGGCAAGCTTTCTACGGGTTCCTATCCACCCCAAGGGTCCATTTGAGACACACGCTCCAATCAACCGGGGGGATTCGGGCCCAAGGTTCAGATCCACCCTTGCACGGGCTCGGATGGGCTCGTGGGCTTGTTTTTCCCGGTTGAAAGCTCAAAGTGACCGGGGGAAAATGTAGACCAGGGCTGGGGCAAGCTTTCTACGGGTTCCTATCCACCCCAAGGGTCCATTTGAGACACACGCTCCAATCAACCGGGGGGATTCGGGCCCAAGGTTCAGATCCACCCTTGCACGGGCTCGGATGGGCTCGTGGGCATGTTTTTCCCGGTTGAAAGCTCAAAGTGACCGGGGGAAAATGTAGACCAGGGCTGGGGCAAGCTTTCTACGGGTTCCTATCCACCCCAAGGGTCCTTTTGAGACACACGCTCCAATCAACCGGGGGGATTCAGGCCCAAGGTTCAGATCCACCCTTGCACGGGCTCGGATGGGCTCATGAGCTTGTTTTTCCCGGTTGAAAGCTCAAAGTGACCGGAGGAAAATGTAGACCAGGGCTGGGGCAAGCTTTCTACGGGTTCCTATCCACCCCAAGGGTCCTTTTGAGACACACGCTCCAATCAACCGGGGGGATTCGGGCCCAAGGTTCAGATCCACCCTTGCACGGGCTCGGATGGGCTTGTGGGCTTGTTTTTCCTGGTTGAAAGCTCAAAGTGACCGGGGGAAATTGTAGACCAGGGATGGGGCAAGCTTTCTACGGGTTCCTATCCACCCCAAGGGTCCATTTGAGACACACGCTCCAATCAACCGGGGGGATTCGGGCCCAAGGTTCAGATCCACCCTTGCACGGGCTCGGATGGGCTCGTGGGCTTGTTTTTCCCGGTTGAAAGCTCAAAGTGACCGGGGGAAAATGTAGACCAGGGCTGGGGCAAGCTTTCTACGGGTTCCTATCCACCCCAAGGGTCCATTTGAGACACTCGCTCCAACCAACCGGGGGGATTCGGGCCCAAGGTTCAGATCCACCCTTGCACGGGCTCGGATGGGCTCATGGGCTTGTTTTTCCCGGTTGAAAGCTCAAAGTGACCGGGGGAAAATGTAGACCAGGGCTGGGGCAAGCTTTCGACGGGTTCCCATCCGCCCCAAGGGTCCTTTTGACCAGCTGGGATGAGACACACGCTCCAATCAACCGGGGGGATTCGGGCCCAAGGTTCAGATCCACCCTTGCACGGGCTCGGATGGGCTCATGGGCTTGTATTTCCCGGTTGAAAGCTCAAAGTGACCGGGGGGAAATGTAGACCAGGGCTGGGGCAAGCTTTCTACGGGTTACTCTCCACCCCAAGGGTCCTTTTGACCGGCTGGAATGAGACACACGCTCCAATGAACCGGGGGGATTCGGGCCCAAGGTTCAGATCCACCCTTGCACGGGCTCGGATGGGCTCATGAGCTTGTTTTCCCCCGGTTGAAAGCTCAAAGTGACCGGGGGAAATTTTAGACCAGGGCTGGGGCAAGCTTTCTACGGGTTCCCATCCACCCCAAGGGTCCTTTTGACCGGCTGGAATGAGACACACGCTCCAATCAACCGGGGGGATTCGGGCCCAAGGTTCAGATCCTGGGCTCATGGGCTTGTATTTCCCGGTTGAAAGCTCAAAGTGACCGGGGGGAAATGTAGACCAGGGCTGGGGCAAGCTTTCTACGGGTTCCTCTCCACCCCAAGGGTCCTTTTGACCGGCTGGAATGAGACACACGCTCCAATGAACCGGGGGGATTCGGGCCCGAGTTTCAGATCCACCCTTGCACGGGCTCCGATGGGCTCATGGGCTTGTTTTTCCCGGTTGAAAGCTCAAAGTGACCGGGGGAAAATGTAGACCAGGGCTGGGGCAAGCTTTCTACGGGTTCCTATCTACCCCAAGGGTCCATTTGAGACACTCGCTCCAACCAACCGGGGGGATTCGGGCCCAAGGTTCAGATCCACCCTTGCACGGGCTCGGATGGGCTCATGGGCTTGTTTTTCCCGGTTGAAAGCTCAAAGTGACCGGGGGAAAATGTAGACCAGGGCTGGGGCAAGCTTTCGACGGGTTCCCATCCGCCCCAAGGGTCCTTTTGACCAGCTGGGATGAGACACACGCTCCAATCAACCGGGGGGATTCGGGCCCAAGGTTCAGATCCACCCTTGCACGGGCTCGGATGGGCTCATGGGCTTGTATTTCCCGGTTGAAAGCTCAAAGTGACCGGGGGGAAATGTAGACCAGGGCTGGGGCAAGCTTTCTACGGGTTACTCTCCACCCCAAGGGTCCTTTTGACCGGCTGGAATGAGACACACGCTCCAATGAACCGGGGGGATTCGGGCCCAAGGTTCAGATCCACCCTTGCACGGGCTCGGATGGGCTCATGAGCTTGTTTTCCCCGGTTGAAAGCTCAAAGTGACCGGGGGAAATTTTAGACCAGGGCTGGGGCAAGCTTTCTACGGGTTCCCATCCACCCCAAGGGTCCTTTTGACCGGCTGGAATGAGACACACGCTCCAATCAACCGGGGGGATTCGGGCCCAAGGTTCAGATCCTGGGCTCATGGGCTTGTATTTCCCGGTTGAAAGCTCAAAGTGACCGGGGGGAAATGTAGACCAGGGCTGGGGCAAGCTTTCTACGGGTTCCTCTCCACCCCAAGGGTCCTTTTGACCGGCTGGAATGAGACACACGCTCCAATGAACCGGGGGGATTCGGGCCCGAGTTTCAGATCCACCCTTGCACGGGCTCCGATGGG